ACGAAAAAGACGTCAAACTTGACGAAAACAAAACTTTATCATCTAAATGTTTATGTTATCATTAAGAGGAAAGATCAAAGTATTTTTGGAGTATTTTTTTATATTTTTTAAACGTTCCTAGCATGTCCAAAACTTTCGTTAAAAATCTTGTTTTTTTTAGTCAGCAAAATTGACAGATAATCGATCATGTCAGCCATTTTTTTTTCCAATTTATAAAAAAATGAAAATCTCAGTTTGAAATTCTTTTAAAAATCAATTATAATTTTTTCAAAACTTATTTTAAGAAAATCAAAAATTATAATGTTTATTGAAAATATTTTGAACCAAGCTTAACTTAGTTTCTTCCCCGAATAGACGTAGTTTGAAAATAAAACAATGCAGGTCACTTAACAAGGTGACGAAAGACATTCATGACGTTTTGATAGTCTACGTTAGAATAATTTCTTCTACGGAAGGAGAGATGTGAAGTTATCTAGATTTAAGTGAACAAATTTTTACCTCGTTATTTTTTGTTTCGCAAAAATAAATCTATATCTTAAAAGGACATTTACGAAACTGAATGCGGCTTTTAACTAATTTTATAATATTTTAAAAACTTAAATGTAAAAATCTATTATAATTAAAAAAAATTACAAATAATTGTATTAAAAATTCAGTATTTAAGTTAAATACCAGACAGAAACTCAATCCACGTGACGTTTTTTTTTTTTTTTTTTTTATTGCACACATGATACTTCCGGTCTTCCGTAGACTTCATTTACACTTTACAGTCTTATTATTGACACAAGTTATATTTTTTTATATCCTGGTGTTCGTTAGTTTGTTCGAAGCTTTGGAAATTATAATCTGTAAATATATATCTACTTAATAACAACATTCGTGAAATTTTACAAACTTTTTCCTAATTTTGGAAGAATTAACAACATAATGTAAAAGTAATAAAATATTTCAGAAATAACAAATAATTGTTTTAAAAATTCATTTTTCATCGGAATATCTTTTTGCTTTCAGACAATATTGTCCATATTCATTAAAATAAATAAAAGCAATTAAAAGCTTTGGAAATTAAATAATATTTTTTTGTTTTATTGAGCTTTGCATATTACAATTCAGAGATGATTTTCAGGTAGAGTTGGTTCAACTAAAAAAAAACAAAAACAAAAAAAAGAAACATGATTTGGTTTTTTCGTACAATTAGTTATGGGGGGATGTAATACATATGAAAAAAATATTTTTGCCATGACTTTAAAAAAGAAAAACTTATTTATATTAATTGCCATCATTTGTGAATAGTTTCTGAAAGTTTCATTAAAATCCGACAATTATTTTTATTTTTGCAATATTTTCGAAATTAATGTCTGTCATACAGAAAAATATGCGCTAAAATTTTATTTGTTATTTTACTAGTTCCCGTGATACAAAGAAAAACAAGGGTTAGAATGTTCTAAAAAGAAAGAAATTTTTTAAAAAATATTTTGATCTTTCCTCTCAATAATAACATAAACATTTAGACGCTAAAATTTTGTTTACGCCAGGTTTGGTGCCTTTTTCATCATGCTATGCTCTGTTTTTAGCGATCTCATGAAGATACCTACGCAAAAATAATGAAAATAACAATGGCATCTCATTTTAAGAGATATATTTACCAAAATTACACAAGAATATCGTGAAAAAATTCATCCAGTAAAATCGCCATTGGCTTCAACCACGGCCTCCAGAGAACTTCGGAATCTCCTGCAACTCTTATGGACGGTTTTCTTGTTTAAGTTGATGAATGCTGTCATAATTCTTGCCTTCAGTTCATCTTTGGTGTTGTAAGGAGATTTGTTGGTCTCTTGCTCAACTGCGCTCCACACATAATAATCAAGGGAGGGGTTGCAGTTTGGGGAGTTAGGTGGGTAGATGCAAGGAGTTACGTGATCACAGAAATTGTCTGACAGCCATGACTGGGTTCTCCTGTTTGTGTGACATGGTGCAGAGTTCTGTGTCCAGACATAGGGTCTTCAGCAGCCACCCTCTTGACCCAGGTTAGCACTACCTCCTAAAGGAACTTGATGTAGGCATCCATGTTGAGACTGAAGTCCCGTAGGAAGATGAATGGAGGCATAACGTCTCCATCACAAGTGATCACTCGAAACACCATCATGTTGACTAGATATATCATCCAACTCTTTCCGAATCCTCTGCACTGTCCTCAGTTTGACACTCTGAAATATTTGTATTGGAGTTTCCGGTGCGAATGCCAAGCATAACAGCATGCCATTTCCAAATTTCTGGCGGAGTGAATTGCGTCATGGTGTTCTTTTTTTTTCACAGACGGTGCCCAGCTGACCCTAATATACTGTGCAGTCGATAAAATCTAAAACAAACAACGCGCATGCGCGAAATTAAAAATATAAAATGGCGGCAATTTACCCATCACGCCCTGTAAATAAGTACATCTAAAGATTCGTTAAAAAAATGAGCATATGTAATAAAAGATGCCCCAAACTTACTAAGATTAAGTTTTATTGTCAAAACTTTATAATATTATTAAGAAAAAAGACCAAACGATTTTTTATTATTATTAAATTATATCCTTTTTAGAAC